TTCTCTGAGAAGCATTTAACTTATAACACACACTTATGCTGCATCTTTGAGGAAACGGGGAAAATCTTTAGCCAGTCATTGAAGACCTGTTCTTTCTGAGCTGGTGTCTCTGGTAGTCATTGGTAGTCTTGCTTCTGTCTGGAGCTTTGTCTTTGAAAAGTATGAGATTGCTTTACCCCCAGCTGGTTTTTATTGTTGTAACTCCACGTGTATTACTCTTCAGTTTGTTTCATTTTTTTGTCAAATGTATTTTTCATCCATCCATCCTTCCATCTATTTTCACTCCGCTTTTCCTGGTGAGGGTCACGGTTACAGCAGGCCAGTAGATCAGCCCAGACTTCCCTGTCCCCAGCAACAGATTCCAGCTCCTCCTGGGGGTCCCCAGGCGCTCCCAAGCCAGCGGAGAGATATAATCCCTCCAGCGTGTCCTGGGTCTGCCACGGGGTCTCCGCCCAGTGGGACGTGCCTGGATCAGCTTCAGCAGAAGCCGGACTGGGGGGCATCCTTATGAGATGCCCCAACCACCTCCACTGGCTCCTCTCGATCCGGAGGAGCAGTGGCTCTGCTCCGAGGCTCTCCTGGATTGCCGAGCTCCGCGCACTGTCACAAAGAGTCAGCGCAGCGGCCCTGCGGAGAAACCTCATTTCTGCCGCTTGTGTCCGCGATCTCGTTCTTTCAGTCATTACCCACAGCTCATGACCATAGGCGAAGACAGGAACGTAGATCGACCGGTCAGCCGAGAGCTTTGTCTTCAAGCTCAGCTCCTGCTTCACCACCACAGACCGGTACAGTGCCGGCAAAACAGCTGACGCTGCCTGATCCGCTTGTCGACCTCACGCTCCCCTCTTCCATCACTCGTGAACAAGATCCCGAGATACCTGAACTCCTCCACTAAGGGCAGCTGTTCCCCCCTCGCCTGTAGAGAGCAATCCACTCCCCCCTCCTCATGGATCGTCACCTTGTCGTGGTGGTGGGGCTTGTGTACCTCAGGGATGCGCAGAGCTATGTCGTCTGGAGCCTTGTGCTCCTGGTGGGGTCTCCCTTGGCGAACAGGTCTGAGTTGAGAGGTCAGACAAAGAACGGTCCAAAAAAGACCCTCATGACCGGGCAAACTAAGATCGAATGTACCCTGCCGGGGACAGGGTTACCAGGACCTGCCCCTGGAGACAGGCCTGGGGGTTGCGTTCGTGGGCGAGTGCCAGGTGGCTGGGCAGCCCACATAACCCAGCCAGGCTCAGCCCGAAAAGGCAATGTGGGCCATCTTATGAGATTACCACCTGCGAAACGAAGGATGAGGGTTGGGTGCGATGACAGCCCAGTGGCAGGCATGAGTGGAAAGGACCTAGATTTGTTTTCTGAGATGCTTTCATGTGAACTGAACTATAAAAAGCTCTTTGTAAAATTGTTGATATTAGTGTTAACATTGAACATTGCTGATATGCAACCTTCAGTCCAGATAAACAGGCAGAAGTGAGCAGCACTGCACGTAGTCAGGAGACCAGCACAGATATCAGTGTGTGTCACTCTGGTAGTATAATACAAGTAATTCCTGTGTGTGCTTTGCTAACATTCAACATAGTTCATTTCCAGAACAACAGGTCTGGATATATAATGCCATAGGAATTTAGAAAAACACAAAAAGCATGCGAGCCATCTCAAGGAAGGAAGTGAAGAACAAATGATCATTTTTACTTCACGCTACGGTTTATGTGAGAGAGCCTGGGGCTGCAACACAGTAATTAAACGTTAATATAACAACCTGAAATCTTGCCAAGAATTGGATTACATTGAAAATATATTTCCTTTTTTCTTTTTTCAAAAAAGAAAAAAGTTCTCCAGTTTGCTGTAATGCGACAATCGCAAACTGTACTGCACTCAAGCCGTAAAATTCACCTTTCTGTGGCAGAATCCACTGTGGAGTTACAGAATAGGTCTGCATTTTGTCTTCGCTCTCAAAATGTACTGTTCCATGCCAAAATACAGAAAATGGACTAAAAGGGTTAATCTAATTTCACAGTAGTATGGGGTTTTACAAGATCTGAGCTATTACTGACATTACAGCTTTCTGTAAATTCTGCAATCTGTAAAGGTTTTTATTTGAACATAAAATAGCTACCCCCTCCACATTCCCTAATCTTCAGCAGGATTCTCCTCAAAGTCTTCCCATGTGGGCACCTCAAATAAAGTCGGACAGCTACAGGAGAATGCCCTGAGAATAGGCCAGCAGCAGCACTCCCTTCCCCCACTGTCACTAGGAATCCAAGGATTTCTGAGCTCCATATCCTGTACATGATTGCCAGCCAGGCCAGGATCCAGTCCCAAAAGAAGGGAGAATGTGGATTCTCTCAACATGTTTTCAGCTGCTGTCAGACCAGGCAGCCATCTACTATACATTTACTGAATGCCACTGTGAGAGGCCCAGGTTATACAGTACCAAGTGTACTTGATATTACCAGTTATCCCTGTTTACAATAATGAACACAAAGGTTACCACATGTTTCCGCAACGTAATTAACCAAAAAGGTACTGTACCCACAGTGCTTCTCAGAGAAAACACAGTCTATAGTTTCTAAACGAGAAATTGCATGACTAAAACAGACAAACGTATTTGTAGAATTGCAGATTTGGTTGGCTTATTTTGATGTGTGCAGCTCTTGTTGTCTGACATGAGCCGAAAGCTGTGCCACTGCAGTCGAATCAGCTTCTCTCACAGGTATTCCTAACGTTTAAGTGCCTCAGGAATCAATGTAATTCCCTGTTCTTTTAACATGGCAAGTCTAAGAAGCCCTTTGAAGTTTCTACTTCCTCTCAGACAGATTAATGTAATTTTGTTGTTGATGTTTTCTACTTGCGTATTTTCTTTCATAGACGGTGTCCTGTCAAAGTATTACTTCAAAGTAGTGTGAAACACAGAGTGAAGTCAGTGGGAGCGTTTTTATTATCATTTCTCTCAGATCTTCTCAGACATTATTGGTAAAGTACTGGTAAAGTAACCGATCAATACCACTGCTGATGCAATTAATGATCACAATACCTATATCTGGAATTATAGTAAATATATTCTCATAGAACTGAATGGAACAAACTAAAATATTTAATATTGACTGCATTGCTTGGCTTGTTGCTAGTTTAAATCTGATTGAGATCTTTCCATTAATTAGTAGTGTGCTATAAAAACAGTAGTTCACCGCTTGGCTGTGGTAGAGTTGGGGCATTCTGGTTGATTGTGGTCAAGGGAGCACTGTATGAATAATCAGTCTTTAATCAGAACCTCCCCCAGACAGCTGAAGTGAGCTGAAAGAGATGCGGACACAAAACCCCACCATCAGTGGAGTTAAGCTTAAAACAGGTGATTACACATAGTCTCTTTAACGGAAAGTTGTTAGTGTCTGTAGTTGCACAGTGATCTTGTTGAATGTGGCTAATGGAAACTGACAAATGTGATTTTAGGATAATTTAGATCATTTAGCTATGGAATCATTAGACAAGCAAGAAGAGCTAAGTGGAGCTCCTTTTGACTGGTCATTTTCCGAAGCTCTCCATTTTCGTTCTTGGGAAGACAACACACTTTCTCTAGCTATCTCCTTGATTGCACAATCAGGTTTGTTCAATGAAAATTGTGAAAGTTGTTGGTGTGCAGTCCCGTTCCTGCTTTGCTGTAAGTACCAGTAACTCTGCTGAGAATCTGGACCTGAGCCAGGCCCTCACTATCTGTCTCATGGTTTGTTTTTGTTTTAAAGATGGCATGTCCCCATATCAGTTTTCCCACATGATCCAGAGAGACATAATCAGTCAGCAAGAGAGTGGGATGTTTTCTTTTTCCGTGTGTGGGAGCCTGCACACCTGAGATACATGAATACATTGTGTTTACTTAGCTGCTTTTCTTACGGGGTGCCAAAGATTTGCAGATGTATAGGTCCGATGGCTCAGAGATTAACCAGAGAACTATCTTAAATAAATGCATTGCGTTTTAATCAGGCTCTTGAGAATATTAAACCATTGTATTTAATCCTTGTTTAAAATTATTCAAATTTTAAATGAGGCAGGTGGATTAAATTTAATCTGGAGAGAGTGTGTGTTGCAGTTATTCTGTGTAGTACAGGGAGCATGTGCGCTGGGGCTGGAGACCTGCAAGGTGTGAGTATACTGAGTAGGATATGCAGGGGAGCAGGTGAAATGTAGTTTCTTTGTGACTCAAGATTGTAACTCAAGTCTAATTACTGTGCATTTGATGATGGTACTCGGGGTAGGGGAATACGATTTTCCCCATTTTTTCTGTCACATGTTGATCATGAAACTTTTCATTCATTTTTTTAAGGCTATAACTGTAAACCCAGACCTGTCAGTTTTCCAAAACAGACATTTAGACATGATTTCTGCACAGACGTCTGCAAAGTGGAATAACACAGGTCTTCCACTCAACAAGGAAAAGCCAATCCTACTCTTGGCTCCCTTGTAGGAAGTGAAGTAAATTATTTTGTTCAGGATTTTAAAGACACATTTTGGATGCGTAATTGGTCTACAAGTTCAATTCTAAAATGTTTTTTTTTGTTCATATGTCCCTACAAACTACAGAAGGAGTACTGGATTGGAGGATGATCGTCTCTTGTTTTTCCAATGGGTCGTATTTCCATTTTTTAACCGCAGTTTCTTTCACATTTCCTTGTGATCCCACCCAGAGCAGAGCAGTCACTCAGGGTCAGATCATTGAGCCCTGCAGTCCAGACATCACTGGCTGTTTCCACTTGTGCACCAACATTTGCTGTGTAATAAAAACTAGTAGTTCAATTTTACATTTTGTAAGATACCCCTGCTAACCTTGCAAGGCCTACTGTTAGATACAGGATATGTGGTAACTGTATATGAAACATGAAGACTTAATTTGGATGTTTTCTTATTGGTGGAACAGCATGTTAACGTGTTTTACAAAGACTGCACTCTGTATCTGTCGTGTTGTAAGGATTATTTATCAGATTCTTTATTATCTGCTTGCTCTTCAGATACCCTTCAGAAATCGCAAACCGGCCATTCACCCAACAGCCAGCAGGGGACAGCACCACCCACCACAGGGGTCCCAGAGGGAGAGCTCATGCTCCAGGTACACAATGGGGTGGGATAGGGCAGACAGTGTAAGTCCTGGGGAAAGAGTATTGAAAGAGAAAGCCTTTATTGGAAGGGAGATTTAGGAATGGGATTACGTTAAAGTTTGGTGGAAAATATAGCATCCATTGCTATGAACCATGAATATGCTTGATTCAAACTGTGCATCAACTTGTAAATGCAGGGGAACTGAAATCCATTTACAGGCGCTTGTGTTACAAGTTCGGTCTTGCTCAAAGCAGGCTGACCCACATCCTGGGTGGGTTGCAGATATCTAGGGTCACCCTGCTGACATCCAGTCATCCTGCGAGTAGAGCTGTTGAAAACAATGATCTGTGATCTGTGTTACACATTTCGCAAATGCCCCCCACCCCTGTTGTCTCCAGGCGCTGAATGGCTTTGTACTGGTCGTGACCGGAGATGGCACTGTATTTTACACCTCCCACAACATCCAGGATCACCTCGGATACTACCAGGTATGGTGCCTGGTGCCAGGTATATTGGTGTGATTTTCCACTTTTTAAATTTAAGATTGTAAATATAAGGAGAGTGATTAATAATATGTTAGAATATGTCTTGGTTTATAGTAACTACAGTAATTAATCACAGGAACCCAACCAGATGTTTATTGCAAAGGATCAGCTTCTACAACAGGAATGGGCAACTTGCTCCAGACACCCACTATCTTTTGTGTAGAGACAACTCCTCCTGTTTTCAAGATCAAGTGCACATCCTTTTAAATTCCATTTGTGATTGTGAGTGAATAAGCAAGCACAAGCGACTGAATGCTCAATTCAGCTGATGTGCTTAGACCTAAAAATGCATAACCTCAGCCAGAAAGAAAATCTTGTTTTTAATCTTGACAGAATCAGGGCAAATATGTTCATCTGGATCAAGGGCAAGACGTGTGTTTGTGCAGACATTTTTATGTTTATTAAATTGATAAAAGAATGAAAATAAGGTTTAAAGGACTTGAAGACGGTGATTTACACCTGATCACAGGTGGTCAGCTGTAAGACGCCTTTAAGATCTAAATGTTTGTCCGAAGTGTTTCTAGTAATAAAGTGTATTTGGTATAGCGCCTTTAAAAGCCATATTCCTGATGCTTCTCGTGAGGAAGCATGACCCACGCTTGCAGCCGCGCACAGCGATCAGGGTGGCTCTCTTTGCTCCGAAGAGGGCGATGCAGTGATGGTATCTGTTAGTGTGGGCTTCTCTGTGATGGCCCAGCCTTGCCTTTCAGAGTGATGTCATCAACCAGACCATCTTCAAACTCATCCACACGGAAGACCGGGTGGAGTTTGACAGACAGCTGACGCTGGACCTCCCAGTGGACCCAGGTAGGACTCCTTCAGTACCACGGGCGTGTTGTCTCCGTTCTGCACGACTGACCGAGCTGCAGGGGCACAAGTAGAAGCTCTTGCAATGATTAGCAAAAACCTGCAATTTTGTCAAACTCCATGCACACATGAATTTGTCCACACGGAAGAAAGTAAATGTTGTCATTTCTGTTCCCGGTGCTGTTTGTGACTGTTCGCCACCCCCTGCGTTTTGATTGAAAAGTACTGCTGCAAGCCAGAGGGATGTGAAAGCTGTGGAAGTCATGCTTTTCGGCAGAAATACAGAGATGTGACATCTGTGACGGCAGCACAAGAGTTTGTTATCCACAGAGAGCTTTAGAAGATGCATTCTTTAATATTTGATTCTGTTACAGAACTAAAAGGTTTCATGTGATCAGTTCAAATAGGATCCATCTGTGCATTTTTAAACTCCAAGGAATAAAGCCTCATATCTAAATTACTGATTTCTACATCAATTGATAAATGTGGGAGCGTTTTCAAAAGAACTTCACGCATTTTAGGATATTGAATAAAATGACTACTATTGCTTACTCAAAGGTTTGCAGCAGTGCTAAAGGATTTTTCTTTAAATAGCAACTTGAAAAAGTTCCTGTGGTGGATTAACATGTAGCAAAAACAGGAACAAGCTTGTTCTACCTGTTTGGTTCCAGACATAAAAGCAACAGCCATGACTTGATTGGAAAACAAGTATTCACAAGCGTGGATGTGCTACTGAAGCACCAATGCATGCTTACAGTGACATTTTATGTACTTTGCAGTGAAACTATGGGAGTTTTTGCAAAATAGTTGTGTGTACTGTGAGGTGAATGCACCTACAGTATGCAGATTTGTAGGGCTCTTGAATGTACATACAGTAGCTCTGACACTGGTAGTTTTGCAAGGTTTGGCTTGATCAGCATATTTCAGGGGTTAAAATATCTGTACCTCATGATTGTCACTTTGCTATGAGAATCAATAATAAAAAACAGAGCTTCTGCAATCATTTGCATGCATTAAGGACTGTTTCAGGTTTTTGTTTTTGAATTATTTTGAAAATTTGAATCTGGACCAAGCATACAGTATGAAGGATCACTCGAGTTCGCATTCAGCAGTCCCAAGGAGGTTTGCTAACACAAGCTGCCTCGCTTTGCTGTCATTTTTTAACTGAAACCAGTGACACTACAGGTGGAGAGTGAAGGAAAGAATGAAAAGAATGTTCTGATAGCAAAGTGACAGCTCGCTTTTTTCAGAATGAGCTTGTTTCTGTCTCTCACTGATTGATGGCCTGAAATGTCTTCCCTACACTCTTACGGAGAGTTCTATAAACTACAGATTGAGAAAGAGTCTTTGGCTCATTTGAATGTGAACAAACAGGATACCACAAGGGCTATACAATACTCATTGGTTGGTCACACGGGTAGATTATAATCAGGTCATGTTTTGTTTCATGATCCTCCTTCCAAGCTGTAATTAGAACTTATCTAGATGCTCTCCTTGAATTTTGAGTTTCATTTCATGAATACAATACCTTTTTGTGGAGTTTAGTTACCACTGTTTGAGAAGGCATCTTGGAGAAAGTCAGTAGACGCATGGTAAAGTGCAGACACAGGGCACCCTCAATTTTGTATCTCTAGCTCTACCTAAAAGAGACAGCACAACATAACTTACATAAGGAAAAAAATACAATTGAGAAAAAGCAGAACAGTAATTTCTGAGTAATTTAACAAAGAAAGGAAAACATCAAAAACCTAGTCTCTGTGTGCTAAGGTTTCAAAGTCTGAAAAAGAAAAAAAGCAATGAATGGTCTTACATTGTTTTGAACCTGTTGAAAGGAAATGCGATACACCTATCTCACTGGGAGTTGTTTGAAATTGAGAAGGAGCTGGCATCTAGGCGTCGTGAAAGGAAAGCTCACATTTAAGTATACTGTAAGTAGAATGAATTAGAACAAATGTGGGTGAACTTTCAGATTCAGAGCTGGAGTAAAATTCAACCATTAACACCTGGACACCCAAGCCAGACCAAGTGTGCCTTTAAACAAGCCTGTAATCTGACACAACATTCTGTAGGGAATTCAAAGGTTTGCAAAGCATACCTTCTACTTTGTTGGTTCCTAGTTACTAGATAATTGATCCAAGTATCACATTCCCAAATGTGTGAAAGATAATGCATATCTTCTTCAATAACATTGCTTGTAACTTGTTGCAGATAGACTCCCCCCACCCCGTCTCTATTATTTTCATTTTATGTGTTAATGTGATTTGGCCAGTTTTTTTTTAAGGGATGGAAAATGACACAGATGTGCTACTGCGACATAGCCACCTGCAGAGCCATTTGCTCTTTGAAACTGACACGTAGCAATCTCCACATCTCCTAATGGGAGGGCAAACCTGATCAGAGGAGCATCTAATCGCTCTGTAACATCGCTGCAAGCCGTGGCGCCCAGCACGTCTCAGGTGGAGCAGTTTGCTGGAGAGCTGAGGCAGCCCTGGCTGACTAATTCTTTCCCCTTTTGAACTCGGCTGCTTGGAAATCCTGGCCACAGACTGGGCAGCAGCATGACCCAGATTCAATCTGGCAACACCTGAGCCATGGAGCTCCACCTGTACGCCATGGAAATACCTTCCCCTTGCTTCATTTTCCCTTTTGCGTATTATTATTTTCTAAAAATGTTTATGTTGATGTACAATGGGCTTTACCATCTCATATATGTAAGGAGAATACGCATGCCAGCTCTGATTCACATTCTCCAGCACCATGTGTAAGCTTGCTGTTCGAGACCACCTGCCTCTTCTTGGTTTTCATTCCAGCAGAGCTGAAATTCTGAGGCCCATTCAGACTGAGTTGCTTCCTTCATTATTTGACACCATGAAATTTAGAAAGCATGTAGGAACCACATACACCATGTAGGAACCACTGTGACAATGTGTTGCACTTGTGCAGCGTTTTTTCTTCTTGTTTGCTTGATGTTTTGTCATTTGGACAGGAGACCAAGGCAGCTGTGGAGGCTTGCCGGCCCAGTCTGCTCCAGACCACCCTAGCCTGAAGGCCCAGAGCTGTGTGGACCGCAGTTTTGTGTGCAGAATGCGCTGCCTGCTGGACTGTGTCTCCGGCTTTCTGGTGAGCAGCCCCTTTTATTAAACAGATTCAAGCCTCTCTAATTATACGGTGGTCTTCTTCTTGAAGGATTTCAAAGTGTTTGCTAGGTGGAGGGAGGCTCACTTAATCCACCACTGAAGCACATCTCTCTCTGAGGTGGTGGGCAGCAGCTTTTCTATACCAGCTGCTCAACTTTGTTAGAGATTATCTGGGTAAAGGAGCACTTTTTTGGTCTGCTAAATTGTTCGGACAGATTAAGACTTCATGAACTGGAGAATAGTGCTTCGAGTTTTCAAATAGTGCTAGGGGTACTTTAAAGATCTCACAAAGAACTTTGGTTTAGCATCTACTGTGAAGTTAGAGCCCCACAAAACACACTGTGTCCCATCAGGTATTTATTTGGGATTTCTAGTCCAGAGGAATGAACACTACCTATTGGTTAATTTAGTGATTGCAAAGTTCCTGGGCCAAGAAATAGCTGTGTTCAGGTTGTGTAGTCCTCCAATGAGTCTGTGCAGTGCACAGTCCTGTAGCATGTCCTAAAGTTTCTACTAATAGTCTTGTCCCATTTTCCATTGGAATGCTTGCAATCAACAGATGTCTTTTAAAGTAGAGTGTTAAAGCTTATTGACCTGGCTTACTACCATTTAATTTTTAATCTGCACTTTTCTTTCATGTAAATGTGCATTTTGCATAGTTTGTAAGTTTCATATTAAAGAGGAATTTTGACAGAATGGCATCTCAGGTGAACAGTGAAAGAGTCATTTTTTCCAATCTGTCAGTTGAAGAGCTTCAAAGATGAACTGAAAACTAGTCTGACAATGAAAGGCTTCATTCCCAGTATTTATACATTTGTGTAAAAGAAAGAGTTTATTTTGCCCAGGCTTAACATCAGAACATTTGTCAACCTGACAGTGCACCTGTGAAGTGCAAGGCAGTTCATTCTACTGTACATGAAAAACAAGTAAACACTAGTTCTTCTGTTCTCTGTAGTGTTGTCTGCTTTCCTTCAAATCCACATTTCTGAACCCAGATCTTGGCTGGACAGCAGTAGTTTTGCGGCCTATTTTGTTCAGTTTTGCCACTGTAAAAATTAATGGTCATAATGCAGACATTTCAGTGAAAGTTCTGAAGTATCTGGCTATCATTCCATTGCCCTGAAGACAGACAGTCAACAGCTAAGTCTTATTTTACAGTGACTTGTATTTAGTGACTTTTCTTTTCATCCAATACTACTGAGATCACTGCATGAGGTATCAGTTTAGTGCCATCTATTGGTGAGTCTAGGGAACCAATTCAGGACAGTCACACTGTCATCTGATCTTGGTCTAAAATGTGTTGAACATGAGTTTGTTCCATCGACTGTCTCTGCGTCTTGTTCCTTTTGCAAAAGACACTTCATTCAGTTCATGTGCAGGGGCAGTTGGGTGAATGCAACAGTTTCCAGTGCATTTACTGAATTAGGTTCTCCTAAAAATCTGGAATCAGAAATGTTACCTTGACATATTTTAGGTTTTGTAAAGAAGAAGAAGGTGCAATATTTACACCATGGCTTAAAAGGTTGCTAGGTCAAGCCAGAGAACTGTGTGGTTTTATTCCACCAGCTACAAATATTGTGGGATTTGAACTTCAGACTTCATCTGTGATATTCAGTAGTTTTCTATATTTACGGGTCTTGGTGATTGAAAGTGTGTGGCACTGTGGTGTACTGCTTACCATTACTGGTTGTGCTGGCAGGTCTGGTTCAGTTTCGGACCTGGGCTACTGTGTGATTGGAGTTTGTTTGTTCTCCCCATGTTTGCCTGCATTTTTCTCCGGGTGCTCCGGTTTCCTCCCACAGTCCAAAAACATATCTGTAGGTTAATTAACTTCTGGGAATACTGGTCCCGGTGTGAGTGTGTGCATCTGGCCTGCGATGGACTGGCTTGCTGATACAGGCTCCAGCTCCTCTGCACCCTGTTTTGGAAAAAGCAGTTAGAAAATGAATTGATGAGTGGTGATGAAAACTGGATGGCGTACTTTCTTGACCAGATTGCCAGTAGAGCGCTGCCCACTCCCTGCCTGCCCCCATCTCAATCCCTGCACCCCAACCTATCTGTCCTCAGACCCTGCAGGTCCAGGGCAAGCTGAGGCCTCTGCAGGAGTTTGGAGATCAGGCTGCAGGTGGACAGGAGAACCCAGCCCAGATTGCCCTGTTTGCCATCGCTGTGCCCGTTCACCTGCCCGCCATCGTGGAGATCCGCACAAGGAACCTGAATTTCCGCACTAAACACGAGCTGGACTTCCGCCCTATCGAGATGGACAACAAGTGAGTGTCGAGGCAAGCTTTCTGCTTCTCAGAACGTTGTGGAGCAGTCGAGTGCAGACTGTATTGGACTTTCTGCACCACCGGAATAAACCAAACATTATTATTCTTTACGAGTCTTTCATTATCAGCCACTTCTACAGTGAAGATCTTTTTAAAGGTGTGTCAGCTGTAAACCATGTTGCAGTCACTCCTGAACAAGCATTGTCATCTCTGGTCCTGCCAGTCTGGCAGTTCTAGGGTTCTTGCAATAATCCGCCACTGAATGCCTGAGGATAAAAGGTTAAGCGATCTCCACTGGTCTTAAAGTACAGAGAATTTAAAGAGACTTTGGATACCTGAGGAAGGTGGATCTTAAGGGTCACTTTAGCTAGGTTTTAGCTGCAACAGCAGTTACAATCAACTACGTGACTTTAGTTTGTCTATGGAGTGTATTATTTCAGCCTCCCATGTGTTACATTGGACTGATGATTAGAGTTGTACTTTTCTTTCTAGAGGGAAGACAATCCTGGGCTGGAATGAGACGGAGCTGAAATCACAAACGGGATATTTCTACATCCATTTTGAAGATTTGGTCTACTGTGCTGAGGGCCATATCAAGTGTGAGTGTGCAAAGCACATATCTCTAGGAATGACCCTCTACCTTTCTGACAAGGATCTTTTCCTAAACCTGCCTGTTTCAACTGCAGGAGTCGCAGCCCTTTGTCAAAGCTGTTCTCTGAGCACTGCTTTCTTCCCTCGGTCACACCAGTTTCCTGCACGGGCCATTGATCATAAGCGGTAGTGCTCATTTTCAAAGTAGTATACTCCAGCTCCAAGGCAGTGCGGGTGTGCAAAGCTAAAATTAATATTTATCTTAATCACGCATGGTGTTATGAAATAGAGGAAGTGACATGGAGTTTTTTTGAATGCAAACATACAAAGCTTGTACTAGAGTGAAGAGCTTTAAACTGCTTTTTTTCATCTGAATTCAAGGCTAGAATCTCCTTGATCTTCTGTCTATGCTCTTTACATCACCATGATTGCCGACAGTTTGTATCTGCTTTACTAGACCTTTCTATGCTTTTCCTAAGGTAACTGTGCTCCCCAGTAATTGACTGCTTAAACCTTGACTTTTACAAATGCTGTCTCGTACATGAAGGACTCCTACAGACCTGGTCCTTGTGGCAACTTAGGTTGTGTTTCTCACTGGCACAAATGGTATAACTTTGTGCTGGGTCTGGGTCAGTTCTACAGCCTTGCTCTTAGGGACTACAGTACATGTTTTTTTTCCCCAAGTTGTTAACAGTGGTTGTTTGAAAATTAAATCTTATGTATATTAACCAAAGAAAACATTGAGGCCCAGAAAAACCGTTCATTTTGTCCCACTTTAGTGAATGCTGGATTGGATTAAACAAATGAAAGTGTGTTTGGGACAATAGTGATATATTTTATTCAGTGGGTGCTTACAGATGCCCTGCGTCTTCTGGTCTCTTCTGCTATTCATTCTACCCGAGTTCTCGTTACTGCGTATTTCAGAATGCTTGCTCTGCAGCTGCCCTTTATTTATGCACCTGGCCTTCTGTATTTAACAGCTAGTTAGCCCAGAATCCGAAAGGCACAGGAACTCCCTGCCCTGAGAGTCAGGAATGACAAATCCTCTTTGAGATCGGCATGTTCCAATTCTGGGTGTTCTACAAGTCCGTCCAGTTCTGATCACCAGTATTTTTAAAGCCAGTGCGTATGAAGTGATAGCTTTGAAAATACATGAGATGCACGTGGCCTCACGGGCAGCACTAACAGGGCAGATTTATTCAACGTGCCCCTTGGGCGAGAAGTCTGGAGGCCCCCGGAACCTGGGGGTGGGCCATGCGTCTCCCTGGCGCTGCGGGGGGTTCCAGCTTTTTCTGTGGGAGGAAGTGAAGTTGTCACTGAGTCCCTCGCAAACCCTTGGTCAGGAATGTCCGGTAGAGCCCTTGACAGGAAAATCCTCCTGTTCACGGCTACTCAGAATAGGCTTCCTGTTGTCAGCATTCCTTCAAGGGTGCGGTGGAGGGAGGCGGCCTTTCCTGGCAGTGATTGAAGTCAGTGATAGAATTCCCACCTGGCCTTGCAGGGCTTAAAAGTCCAATCCTTTTCTTTAGTGAATCCCCAAACTTAAATGATTCTCAAGTGCTTTATTATTTCTTTCTGTTTTGTAGATATGTTCGATTCTGCTTTAATTTTCTGGTTCATTTTCCAATCATTTTGATCCCACTGATTTTCATAGGCCTTTCCTAAAGGAAGGTAATACAGCTCACTCTCTCGGTTACCAGCTGATGCCAGTATCTGGGAGTAAAAGGGAGTCTTTCAATGTGCCTGCTGGTCATATCATCTCAGATTTTACTTAGTGGAGGTACAATGTTCAGTCTTGTAGTTTCAGGATAACTTTGAAATCCTGCCCTGTGTCAAAAGGTGCTGAAATCAGCACACAGGGGAGACCTTCCAGGGTGATTTCACTGTTTTGGTTTTCTGTTTTCACATTTCGCACTTTACTCTTTGTCATTTTTTTCCTATTCTCTTTTCCCATTTTTTCAACTTTCAGCATCGTCTTTGTCATCATATACTGTATTTTGATCACCAGGTGACAGTGCTCCCACTGCCCAACACTCCGACTTGTGCTGGGGTCCTGAGATTATTAGCTATAATACATTTTGAAACAATGCTTATAAAGGTGTGAGGGCTAGAGCACTAAGCCAAGATGTTTCTGGAAACCAGGAGGCATTCAAAGACAGTAACTGCAGATATGTAATTAGAATACAATAACAAGCAACTGAAAAAATATTAAAAGAAACAGAAGTAAGGAAAAGGTAAATATGATGTGCAGAACAGCCTAAGTAACATAAATTAACTAATCAAGGGCTAAGTGCAAAACCAAAACCAAGCATAGGAGAGTTTTGATCAGGACATTTGGGTGGAGATACCACAAATAGATCTCTTGAAAAGTAGTTACAGATTGCTAAATGGGGCTGGAAAAGAGATTAAAAAAAGTATTGCCGATTTCTAAATTTTATAACAACAGTAATGGTGCCATTTTGCGTTTACTCACCTGTCACCTAGGAGGACCAAGACTAGAAGAGACACGATTCAGCAACCCCTAACGTTCAGCAACCTATGTGGTGCCTTTTTTATGCCAGCTGTTCACTTCCTGGTCACAGTACATTCTCAGTTGAAAAACACCAAGTGGGGGAAAAAAAAGGAAGAGAACAGATGCTGAACACACTAAAAAACACTAGAGCGCACGGAATGTAACAATAAATGTTTCCCCATGCCTATATGCCGCTTTCCTGCAGTGTATAGGAAGTAATGTGCCCAGTTGGGTTTTTCAGTGATGAAGACCGGGAGCAGTGGGGTGACAGTCTTCCGTCTGCTGACCAAGAACTACACCTGGGTGTGGATCAGTGCCATCGCTCGGATAATTTATAAAGATGGAAAGCCCAGCTTCATCCTGGCCACACAGAGGCCTCTGACGTGAGTACAGCCTGGCACCGAGAATGGGTGTGCACAGACTCCTGCTCGCAAAATGCTACGAATAATATCCATAGTATAATACTGTTATATGTAGTATTTGAGTCAAAAGATGTTTTTGATGAATAATGTATCAACCAACATTTAAGTGTCATATCTGTGTTTATAGTCACTAGTGGAACCATTGCTTTATGTACTTATGTACTTGTGGAGGGTGTGAATACTTTTTTCTCTGACAGCATATTTAATTCTGGTGGCTTGCAATCACTTGTTTTGAGATGTAGCTGTAGGAAACCAGTAATTCACCTTTCTCAGTGATGTCAGTGTTTTCAGACAACATAGGGGTTTTCCAAGTACTTCACCTAGCATTACAAAACACCGTGCGTGGGAGTCGACATGTAATGAGAAAACGTCAGGAATTATTAGAGTAGCTCTCCCTTTCCTCCTTGTAATTTTTTTTATGTTTTCATTGCTGTCTCTAATTAAATCAATATTGAAGTGGGGAGATAAATCTGCAAGTAATTTCTGTCTTATATGGAAGTCATTACACATTGGAGGTGATGTTCTGCTTAGCACTTAGTGCCTCTCGTGCCACCCTTTCCCTCCTGTGCTTAATGGATTGGAGATGCTCCCTCTGTGCCTACAGGGATGCTGAGGGAGAGGAGCATCTGCTGAAGAGAGCCAAACTCGAGTGCTTCCCCACGGACAGCCAGTCTCTGCTGTACGACAGCACTGACTTCCTGCACCCTGATGCAAGGGCCTTCCTGCACCAAGTGGAGCAGCAGTGCCGTGCCCGCGGGCACCTCCACTCCAATGTCGTGGGGGACAGTATGAGCCAGGACAACCCCCCTTACATCTACCGGCCCCCTGAGGGCCCCTGCCCACAGCCCTGGCCCCATTTCCCCGCAGAGGTCAGCATCTGGGAGCTATTATGGCGCTACGGGCTGTGCCA